AGACATTGCAACAGGAAACAAAACTAAGATATCTCTATTAACATAGATATCTCTGTTAATAGAGATATCTTAGTTTTAAATAGAGATATCTTAGTTTTAAATAGAGATATCTCTTTTAAATTAAAAACTAAGATATCTCTATTAAAAACTAAGATATCTCTATTTAAAACTAAGATATCTCTATTTAAAACTAAGATATCTCTATTTAAACTAAGATATCTCTATTAATAAAGATATCTCTATTAATAGAGATATCTTAGTTTTAAATAGAGATATCTTAGTTTTAAATAGAGATATCTTAGTTTTAAATAGAGATATCTTAATTTTTAATAGCGATATCTCTATTTAAAAATATCTCTATTAATAGAGATATCTTAGTTAAAACTAAGATATCTCTATTAAAAACTAAGATATCTCTATTTAAAACTAAGATATCTCTATTTACGATTAAATGACAACTCGGCTCGCCATAGGAAAAACTCTACTGACAGCATTGTACGTCTATCCATCACCAAGGTCCGCACAAGAAAGAGTGAACGGCGTGTTCATCATCTTCGACCCTTGCACTAGTTGCATGGCAAAATAAAATAAATGCACCGCGTAAAGGCCTACTAAATTAAATAATCCCAAACCCCTCAACAATAGTTCCAGTATAAAAAAAAAAATTCGAAAATAAATAATAGTAACGAGATAACACAAAACCCAGTTTCCCACAATAAGTAGACGTACCTCAACTTTATCGTGGTCCCCATGACTGTGGCTGTGGCTATGTCCACCGAACAAGCTGGAGGTTAGTTTCTCAAACAGAAAGAAGACATACAAAGACATCACGACAGTAAGATTCTTCCACAGAACATCAATGCTAGATTCTGTCGAACCGCCTTCTTCGTGGTCATGTAGTCCAAGTGCCTAAAGGATGACAATATATTACAATATAAATATAGTAAGAAAATGATAACGTAATTAGACCTGTTAAGCCAATAACAGATTTAAAAAAAAATCAAAATTAAATGCAAGAAATCAAAATTCCAAAATTTAAATTTCTAAGAAGCAGGTTAGTTTGGTCATGGCATAAGCATAAAATACTGTACAATGAATCAAAAATATAAAAAATAGTTAAAAAAGTAAAAAAAAAAACATGTATAAATAAAAATTAAGAAGGATATTTAACATTTTTAAGAGCAAGACACCAAACATAAGTATATAATACCAGGGACGTAGCCAGGATTTTGAAAGGGGGTGGGGGAGCCGTTATGCGAATTACGTATGACCCCGGCGGGGTCAAGGGGGCGAATCACCCTGTGAAGTAGCGCAATCTGAACGTTCTTAGGACTGTTTGAGAGGATAAAGTGAAAATTCCAATAGACGCATTATAAATAAGCGAAAAAATAATTATATAATAAATCAACAGTGGCAGATCCAGGAATTCGAAAGAGAGGTGAACCAGGGAGGGACTTTCACAGACCGAGGAACTGCCCACCATGGTTGGGGCTGAGGTAAGAAAATTTATGATTAAGGCATCTCTAGATGGCCGGAAATTACACTCTCGCACTTCAATTTGAATATATTTTTCTTTTTTTTCCTTA